TTTTTCGACACAACAAAGCCCTAAAACTATGTGACGAGAAATGCCAGGGAAGGCTGAGCTCCGAAGGATCGTTACCTAGACTGTAAGAGCGCCCAGAAGATGCCACTGTTCCTCCCAATAGTGTGCTCGTCGGAATTGATGGTCAGGCAGTTCCCCTGGGCCGTCCACAGCACTACAATTCAAGCCAAACGGTTATTGGGGCGTGAAACCACGCAGCTTCAATGCTACTCTCAGGTGAGCCCCGGGAAACGAGCAAGACAAACACCCCAATGCTCACCCGCAGCTGCCACGCCGAGGAAAACAGAGGCTGTGTAGAAGGACCACGTGAAAGGCTGGATAAAAACGGCAATGTACATGCTAAAATATAACAGGCCAACGGATTACGTCAAACCACACCTGACACAGGACGCCATTGTGCCTTCTAGGAGTCAGTTCTGAGGGTCCTCTTTTAAAATGCAACCGGTAGCCCGGCCGGCGTGGCTCAGTGGTTGAGCGTCGACCTATGAACCAGGAGGTCATGGGTTCGATTCCTGGTCAGGGCACAGGCCTAGGGTTGCGGGCTCCATCCCCAGTGGGGGGCATGCAGAGGGCAGCCGATCAATGATTCTCTTTCATCATTGATGTTTCTCTCTCACTCCCTCTCCTTTCCTCTCTAAGAATCAATAAAAACATAGTTTAAAAAATTAAATTCAACCTGTAAAGGACTCTTCCAGTGCTGAAAACAAAACAATAAAAAGGGACAGATGTGACCTACTCATTTCTTAATTTACTGGCTCAAATGTGTAAAATCAGACCCTGAATGGTGGTGTGCAGTTGGTCTTTGCCAGCTGCGTAGCCCGTGATGGGACTGTAGCACCACAGCCCACAGGAAAGTTTGGTTCTTTCATTTGAATTCCTGTTAATCAACTTGATATCAAATAAGCTTAGTTCACGGGGAATTCTTTTCTACTCTTGTGGAAAGAGATTTTTGAATGCTATTTTCATTAAGAGTAAAACAAAAGCAGGTATACACATGACCAATCACATTAAAACAATGTGGTATCCCTGGGCACAAAGACGACAGCCAAATCCCTAAAACATCGTCTTCATCTATTCTATTCAATCCACGGCCGCAGGCTCCTGTTACAAGTTCGCTGTGTGCCTGAGAGGCGCTGACGGTGCTCTCAGTAAAATGAAAGGAAGAAAAGCACCCGACTCACCTGTAAAACAAACCACTGGCGAACATGGAGAGCTGAGGTCCCACGATGGCAACCACGGACGGCGTGATCAAATTGGAGGCGGAGAACACGCCATAAATAATCGCCATGCTGGACACATAACACACAAAAACAAAACAACACCAAGCTGTCTTAAAAGTTCACTTTTCAAGTTTACTTAGTCTACAGACGTTTTGCAATAAACATTTCTATTCTCTAGGCGGCGTGCACAGTTATATCCTTAAACTGAAGGCCATATTAAAGTTTGCACATGCACAAAATACTGAAGTCTCATCCCATGTTCCTTTGAGTAAGTGTGCCCTAGACGATACGGTTTTCGATGTCCTGGTCAATTGTAACAACAGTGAACACATCACATGGAACAGGCACTAGACCAAGTACCTTCTACATGTTTTTGCTCTTAATCCTAACAGCTCCGGGAAGAGGGTGTTGTTAACGTCCTCATTTTACAGAGAAGGAAACTGAAGCACAGAAGGGCTAAGTGACCTGTCCAGCGTCCACCTGGGTGCCTGGTGACCGGGGGAGCCCAGGTCCTGTACCTGGTCAGGTGACTCCCGAGGCCCCAGGCAACCAGTCTGCTCTGCAGACCTAGCCTACAACTCCTGGCAAGTGCGTGTGACCTCGTGTGACCTCGCTGCTATAACTAACAGGCCGAGTCCTCAAGCCAGGGTCCATGTAGCTCAACCTAACGGTCTCACTGAACACTGTTCAGCTACTAGAGACCCAGCCTTACTAGTACGCACATCTTGGGACAAAGTGTGACTAAAACCATTTCAAAGGCCCTGAGTTTATGTACTATTTATAAACCCATAGTAAATTATCCTTTGGCTTTTAGGAATCTCTCAACTATCAAATGTCCTTTCCCTTGTTCTGTAGAATACGCATGAATACAAAGCACTACAAAACGTTGTGGGAATCCTTTAGAAAAAATGGGCGTAAATATCCCTTTCCTCTCATATGTCATATACAAGGTCAGGCTTAGGATAGGTGATAACCAAATAAGACGGGGTGGGGGTGGGGCGAGACGACCCTCAAGACTGGTATTGGCCACAACCTGATACCTAAGGACGGAGAAATGAGGAAACCCGTCTGGGCGTGGCTACCTGAGCATGTTACGTTCCCAGCTCCAGGCACAGTGTACTGGGGACTTATGCAGGTCTTTCCACTTCATTTTCACCGAGTGCAAAACTGGGCCTCAACGCCTTCATAAAAACCTAAAAGCTCCTGATGACAGCCTCACGAAATTGCAAAAGCAGGAAGACCAAGTGTTTCAAGAGTCCTATAAAACAGCCTCTGCTGTAAGACGGGGAAGATGTAACACAAGACTGGAGTGCCCATTAAATGCCAGGTGCTGCGCCAAGCGCTTCGCAGGCATTGGCTGAGCCGGGACACCCGACTCCGCCAAGCAACTCGCCTAAGACAATGCAGCCATTCAGCCAGGAAGCCAGGAGTTCACACCTGGTGTCTAATTCTACAGTAAACCTAAACTCATCACCTGTGTTCAAGGATGCCCTCCCAAAAGTCTAGACACAGGGAAGGAAAACGCAGTCACTAACTCACTCACGGTACTTAGTGCCCGCGGTTCTGATGTGGATTTAAGCAGCCCCCGCCCGAGGGACGTGTGACGGAAAACCACTGGCACAGACCCATACCTGGTGTAGCCGCTGCCGTGGAAGTCGGTGCTGTTTAAACTCCTGATGACGGTTTGCTGTGTGGAAGACAAAACCAATGAACAAAACGAACGTTTTTGCAACCCCGCTCTCCCCTGGAAAGTCTCCAAGTACTGGGAATAAAGTGAAAATGGGAGATGCTCAATACTGAGCACTGAACGTGACTGAGAAGAAAAAGGATTACAGAACAGCAGATAAACCAACGGCAGGGCAGCGCGGGGGGGGGGCGCGGGAGGGGACCTGCGGACACCATGCCTGAACTCTCCACTACAATGCAGACCTGAACACGGACAAGTACAATAAACAGGTCAACAGACACACCAAAGTCAAATCAGAGAAACCAACGGCCATGCTGCACATCCCCATATGTTCGGGAGAAACGTCTGATGCATGAAACCAATCCTAATCGTTAAGAAACAACGAGGAAGGCTGAGAAAATGACAGGCGCGGTTTAAGCGCGCTCTTAGCTGCGATTAACGCGGATCGTCATTTCTAGGAGGCCCTTGTTCCAAGGAGGGACCGCGGACCCCAACTCACCGCCACATTTCCACAAGTTTGAAAGGCGGTGAACATAAACATAAAGGCAACTCCTAAAACGACGATGTTGAAAAGCTTTTTAGATTCCGGGGACATTTTGGCTCCACCCTGCCGGAGGTCCGCCGCGGCAGCGGTCCAGGGCAGTCAGCTGTCCTCGGGGCGAACCCACTGCCACGCCTGGGGGACGAAGAGGCGGTGAGAGCAGGCAGGTCCGGAGCAAGGCAGCCAGGCGGTCCCCTTCCAGTTCGCGCATCCGAGTCCCGGGCGTAGGGTGAAGCTCTCCCCCCGGGCACCGTTAGGACATTCCCGGGGCGCGACGCGAGAAGGGAAGAGCCCAACACCCGGCGAAGCGCCCAGAAGGCTGTCGCCCCGGGTGGAGGGGCCCGCCGGGGGGATTAGGAGCCAAGAGCATATTACCCTTTTATTATATAGGATAGAGGCCTGGTTCATGGGTGGGGAGACCTCCCTGCCCCCAAAGGGAGCGGGGTCGGATCCGCGGTGGCCGGCTAAAGGCGGGGCTGAAAGCGGAACCCAGCGGAAGGGCGGAGAATTGCGGGAGGGGATCTGGGACCACATAGCGGGGTCTGGGGCAGCTGGGGACACAGAGACGCAAATGAGGGAAGGAGTAGGCCCACCGACAGAGGCGGGGCTGAAGCCTAAGCCGGAAAGCGGCGTGGAACTCGGGTACTGGCACTGAAAAGAAGGCGGAGCCCCGGAGGGGAGCACCTCCTCTTCCTCCTGCCCCAGAGCGCCCCGCCGGAAGAAGCGTTTCGCGGGCTTTCCAA